TTTTTCCTTTATGGCTGGTGCTTTTACATTAAGAAATTCCTGTATTGAAAAATAAATCAAACATGCTAAAATGTTAGCATCTGGGGAAACTGGGTGAAGGATATATGAAAATTCTTCGTACTGTATTTACAACTTTTCTGTAACTTTAAAATTATTTCAAAATACAAAGTCTAAAAATTCTCCTTAACCTAGAATCATAAAGATATTTTCCTTAAAAAGTTTTTCTTTATTTTTTGGGGGGACAGGGTCTCAGTCTGCTGCCCAGGCTGCAGTGCAGTGGTGCAATCACAGCTCACTGCAGCCTCAAACTCCTGGGCTCAAGTGGTCCTCCTGCCTCAGCCTCCTAAGTGGCTGGGACTACAGGCGTGAACCACAACGCCTGGCTAATCTTTTTTATATATTTGTAGAGATGAGGTCTCGATATTTTGCTCAGGCTGATCTCAAACTCCTGACCTTGGCCGGGCGCAGTGGCTCACGCCTGTAATCCTAGCACTCTGGGAGGCTGAGGCGGGTGGATTGTTTGAGCTCAGGAGTTCGAGACCAGCCTGAACAAGAGCGAGACCCCATCTCTACTAAAAATATAAAGAAATTAATTGGACAACTAAAAATATATAGAAAAAATTAGCCGGGCATGGTGGCTCATGCCTGTAGTCCCAGCTACTCGGGAGGCTGAGGCAGAAGGATTGCTTGAGCCCACGAGTTTGAGGTTGCTGTGAGCTAGGCTGACGCCACGGCACTCTAGCCTGGGCAACACAGGGAGACTCTGTCTCAAAAAAAAACAAAAAACAAAAAAAAAAACTTCTGACCTCAAGCGCTCCTTCTGCCTCAGCCTCCCAGAGTGCTAAGATTACAGGTATGAGCCACCATGCCCAGCCTAACAAAGTATTTTCTAATCAAAAGTCATGAAGATTACTCCTGCTTTCTTCTAAGAGCTGTATAGTTTTCGTTCTTACATTTGTAAGCAAGGGGTCCAATTTCATTCTTTTGCATATGGATATCTAGTTTTCTCAGCACCATTGTTGAAAAGACTGTTCTTTCACCCACTGAATTGTCTTGACACCCTTGCCAAAAATTAGTTGACCCATTCTGGGTCTCTGCATCTCCACATGAATTTTAGGATCAACTTATCAATTTCTGCAAACTGATAATCTGGGATTTTGATAGGGATTGCACTGAATCTGTAGATCAATCTTGGAGATATTGTATTAAGTTTTCCAATCCATGAACACGAGATGTCTTTCCATTTATATAGAACTTTTTAAATTTCTTTCAAAGCTGTTTTGTGGTTTTCAGTGTACAAGTCTTGCCTTCTTTTTTTTGTTCTCAATATTGTATGAAAGTCTTCCCTTTCTTTTGCTAAATTTACTCCTGTTTTATTCTTTTTTTGATGCTATTGTAATCCTTGCCAGATTTTGTTATCAAATTATGCTAGTAAAATGAACTGGAAAGTATTCTATTTTTCTTATATTCTGTGATGTTTTGTATTAGATTAGAATTATCTGTTCCTTCAATGTTTAGTAGAATATGGGGATAAAACCATCTTGGCCTAGTGTTTCCTTTGTGCGAAGATCTTAAATTTCTAATTCAATTTCTTAATTGGCTATAGAATTATCTGGGCTTTGTACTTCTTGAGTTGTGTTTTGCAAATTATATTTTTCTACAAATTCATCTAAGTTACGAAATTTATTGGCATGGCCAGGAGTGGTGGTTCATGCCTGTAATCCCAGCACTTTGGGAGGCCGAGGTGAGAGGACTGCTTGAGCCCAGGAGTTTGAGACCAGCCTGGGCAATATAGTGAGACCCCATCTCTACAAAAAATAAAAAAATTAGCTTGACGTGCACCACCTAGCTACTGGAAGGCTGAGGCAGGAGGATCACTTGAGCCCAGGAGATTGACATTGCCATGAGCTATGATTGCAGCACTGCACTCCAGCCTGAACGACACAAGAAGACCCTGTCTCTAAAAAAATAAATAAAAATGAAATAAAATTTATTGACATAATGTTCTTCATAAGATCTCATTATCTTTTAAATCTCTCTACCACCTGCAGTAAATATCTCCTTTTATTCTTAGTATTGATTATATATGCCTTCTTTCCTTCTTTTGCTCTGTCATATAAAAATGTGTCATTTTTATTAATCGTTTTAAAAACCCGACTTCTCTGTTTTTCTTTTTTTTTCCTTTATCCACAAAGAATGTTTTTCAATTTTGTTAATTTCTGGTCTTATTATTGTAAGAGTGTGTTTCTATTGTTCTTCTAATTTAGATTTATCTTACTGATTTTCAATATTTCTTCTTTTCTGATAAAAATTAATTAAGTAAAGCTATAAATTTCCTTCTAAGTACAGTACTGCTTTTCTTTTCTTTTTTTTTTTTAAGAGACAGAATCTTGCTCTGTTGCCCATGCCGGAGTACAGTGGCCATTCACAGGTGTGCTCACAGAATGCTAGCTCACTGCAGCCTAAAACTCCTGGCTCAAGTGATCCTCCCACCTCAGCCTCCTAAGTAGCCGGGATACAGGTAAGTACTGCTTTAACTGAAACCCAAAGGTTTGATATGCATATTTTGTGTAGAACTCATATATTTTCCTTCATTTTTAAAGAATCTGTTTTGCTGGATATGGAATTTTTAGTTTATAGGTTTTTTTCTTTCAGTAGAGAGATTATTCCATTATCTTCTAGCTTCCATTATCTCTGATGTGAAGTAATATAAAATTTTTACACATGTTCTCCTGAATGTAATGTGTCCTTTTTCTCTGGCTGCTTTTAAGATTTATCTTTGGCTTTCTGCAATTTGACCTTGGTCTACCTAAATGTGGTCTTTTTGGTGTTTATCCTGCTTCAAGATCTGCTGAGTTTCTCGGATCTGTAAGTTGATGTCTTTTATGAATTTTAGAAAAAATTCAGTCATTATTTATTGAAATATTTTTCTGTCACCCCTCTGGAATCCCATTACACACATGTTAAACCTTTTGATATCATTCCACAGGTCTTAGATCCTCTGTTCTTTTTTTATTCTATTTTTTTCTCTCTATGCCTAAGTTTGGATACTTTCACTGAGGTTACAATATTACAATTTGAATTAAATGATCTTTTTTTCCTGGTGTGTCCGTCCTACCGAGCCCATCCAATGACCTTTTCATTGCAGATACTGTATTTTCCAGTTCTAGAATTTTTATTTGGTTATGTCTTACAGTATCCATCTATTTCCATCTATTCCATCCCACCTGCTCACCCATTCTATCCTCCTTTTCTGGTAAATGAATCCTTTGCTATACTTATAATAGCAGTTTTAAAGTCCAGGCCTGCTAATTCCAACATCTGGGCCATCTGTGGGTCAGCATCTACAGACCACTTTTTTCTCTTATTGACAAGTCATATTTTCCTGTTTCTTCATATGTTATTAAATTTCCATTCTATAATGACCGTTGAAGATAACATCTTACAGAGACTCGATTATGCTATCCTACTCGGTTTTGTTCTGGTGGATTCTGGCTCTGCTTTAGGCTTTGTTAGGGTGGGCCTGTTTTGATTTTCCCCTTCATCCTGGGGTACAGTCCTTGATCATAGATATGGTCACATGACCCTTTTATGGTTTCAGTGAAAAGATGTTTATAAATTCTAATTTGGTGCTACCTGAAGTCCAAACTCTGTCATCCCAGCACTTGGCAGTAGCTGAAATCTCTGTTCGCTCTGTAGCTTCCCAGCTGTTGCATTTTTTTCTGGATTCCTTGAGGTTGCACCCTGTGTATATGTTGGTTAGGGGACAGCCAAGGATCTCAGGGGAATTTGGATTTGGATTCAGACCTCCCTGCTCTGTGGCTCCCTCCTTTCTAAGACTTTCACCCTTGATCTGCAGCCATTCTGGCTGCCTCAAACTCCAGCCCCACACCATGAAGACTTTCTCTTTTAGTTCTAACCTCCCATGTGCCTTATGCACTGAGACGTGCCTTAAGGTGAAAAGCTGGATAAATGTGGAATTCACCAAGTTTACTTCCCTTCGTTCAAAGATTGTGCCCTCTCCAGTTTCTGCCTGTTTTGGATTGTGTTCCAGGCTTTCAAAGAGTGGTTTTTAAATATTTTGCCCAGAGTTAATAACTGTTATTGGCAGGAGACTTAGTCAGACACAAGCTGTCTCTTTCTCCAGGAGTAAGCACTGCTCCTCGTGCAAACTATCATCATCCCTTTTTAGCCTCGCGCAGGACAAACGGGCTGTGCATCTGCCCACCCACTCAGCCTGGCATAGGAACACCCTGACATTTCAGGGCTGTGTCAAAGCAGCTAGACATTGCTGTTGTATTTATCCTTGACTTCTGGCTAGTTGTTTAATAATGTCTATTTTAGTTTTTAAAAAATCTCCTATCCCAGGGCCAGCATTTGGCCTTCAAATCACTTGCTGGTTCAAGGATGTCCAGGACCTCCTCATCTGTCCCCTTCATTGTCACAGTAAGAAACAGATCCAGAGGGTGAACAACTGGCTCTGGCAAAGGCTGGCTAGATGCTCATCAAAGCTGTTTTCTTGTCCTGGACACAAGGCTAAGAAGTCCATTTCCCAGCCCTTTGTACCTGGGCGGGGCTCTGTGACTAGTGCTCTTCCTCTTGTCTACCGGGGATGATGCCACATGTTGAAGGTGGTGAAGCCGCAATATGGAAGGAGCCAAGGTCTCTAAATGACCGATATTTGACTGTGATGCAGGTAAGAAAGTAATCTTTGATTGTGCTAAGCTACTGAGATTTTGTTTTGTTATTCACAGCAATTGGTGCTACTTATGCTAATACGTTTGCACAGACAATACTCTAACAAGTGGTAAAGATATGACAGAAACCAGTCTCCTATTTCCTTTGATGGTTAACAAATATAATTCCATTCACATATAACTTTCATATTTATTATATTAGTATACTACATTATACAATTTATAACAATTAGGAGTATGTGTATAAATAAATGAAAAATGAATGAAAATAGTGACTTAATGAATGGAAAGACAGTGACTTACCTAGAGACTGAATGCCTTTTTCTTTAAGAAAGCTGTGTAAAGCATCTATATTAAGGTTTAATATAAATCCTAGTTCTGGTGTGAGTTTCCAGAAGCCATCCTATGAAATTAAGAAAACAAATTTAAATCATCTTATTGAAATTTCATCACAAAAGAAGTTATGTGATGCATAAAATATTTCCATTTTCCAATTCAGTTAATTAAGATATTTAAAAAATGTTTATTACTATAAAATCAAAATTCTTCATAGATTAATGACATAGTATTGCTTGGAATCTCATAAATACTACGGTCACTAAGTATCTGGTGGCATTTATAAAAACTCTGGAGACAGTTTCATCTGTACGGACTTTTTAAAATGGTACTATACATTTTTTTCTTCTAGCAGGTGCATTGCACCAATGTTTCTCAATCTTTAAACTGGCATGATTCTTTTTTAAAAAAACTTTTTTATGATTGACATACAAAAAGCCATATATATTTAATGTATACAACTTGATGAGTTTGAAGATAAGTGCACACCCATGACACTACTAAGCCATTAGCACTATCGATGCCATAAACTTATCCATCACTTCCAAAATTTTCCTTTGTTTTACTTTGTTTCCTCCTGTGGAAAAAGCACCTTAACACAAGATCTACCTCTTAGCAAATTTTTAAAGTACACAATATTGTTAACTGTAGGCTCTGTGCTGTGCGGCAGATCTCCAGCATGATTCCTTTCGTGCAAAATAAAAATGTACCCTCACATAGTCTGATAGATGAAGATGATGATTTTTAAACTACCTTTCCTGTGCCCCGCACCCCCGCCCGCCCCAGCACGTAGGAGAGTGTGGTCAGCCTGCACTGGGGCTCCTGACCTTGCAGGAGACAGGCCCCAGGCCCCAGGGAACTAACACAGGGAGCAAAAAGGAGGGTGCAGTCCTAGGCAGGGGCACAGGTTAAAGGATCCATGGCAATAATTTGAAAAATGACAGTAGTGTTAATCAATATGTGCCAACCCATATAAAACTGGGAGCAGGTGTTCTTTTATCTTTTTAGCTGCTTCTTGTGGAGGTACTATTATTATACTCACATTGTAAATGATGACACTGAGGCACACAAAGGTTAAGCAAGGTGTCCAAAGTCACACAGCTGACAAGCAGCAGAGACAGGGCCGTCTGCAGTACGCCCCCTAGAGGCTTTTGCGTGCACTACCTCGCCTAGGGAAGCCAGACAGGTGTTACCCTGTTGGAACCTCAAAACCACTCCACAGGTAGACACCGTCATTATCCCCAGTATGTGGATGGGGAAACTGAGACTCAGGTTATCTGACTTGCCCCATATCACAAAGTGGTAGGGCTGGGACTCACACTGGTCTTTTCTTTTTTTGGAGACAGGGTCTCATTGTGTCACCTGGGCTGGAGGGCAGTGGTGTGATCGTAGCTTACAGCAACCTCAAACTCCTGGGCTCAAGCGATCCTCCTGCCTCAGCCTCCTGAGTATCTGGGACTACAGGTGTGAGCCACCATGCCCAACTAATTGTTTCTAGTTTTTGCCAAGATAGGGTCTTGCTATGTTGCCTAGGCTGGTCTCAGACTCCTGGCCTCAAGTGATCCTCCCACCTTGGCCTCCCAGAGTGTTGGGATTACAGGCGTGAGCCACCACGCCTGGTCCACACTAGGTCTTATACTACATTAAGTCCTTTCCACTTCACTAAACTACTTTACATCGAAACAACTAATTACAAATATGAGGTCTTCGTACCAGTGTAGGAGCTAAATTAAAGGGTGTTTATTAGTTTAACAAATAGAAGGATAAGCTCTAACACATTACATGTTGAATAATACCTACAGTCCCACAATCTTATATGAAAATATTTGGAGTATTATTTATAGCACTTGTGCTTTACATTACAATGGGAAATTTATATAAATTGCAATTCATCAGTTCTAGAACCTAGGAAATTAAGGTCTTTCCCCATGACCTGTTCACGGATGCTAATTTTCAACTGACGAACATTAGCGTTCATTAGCATGAGGTTCTGGCTCAACGGTGAATGGATAAATCCAGTGATCAGCTGACTCCTTTGTTTGGTTTTGCAGCAAGGCTTTCTTGACGCAGGAAGCGCTGTGATTTACTGACGGTACAGCCCCACACCTCACTACAGAACGGTAAATAAACAGTTCCGTGACCAGCTACTTTGACTTACATTGTCCTAAACTATGAAGCTAACTAAGCGTAGATTAAGCAACAATAGGGCAAATACCTCGGTTTGCAGACTGCAGAGTTCAGTCCAAGGCACGACACTCGCCCCGCGGTGTTTTCCGGCAGCGCGCTCCCCCGCCTCAAGGCTCCCACGGAAGTCACTTGCAACCTTAAGGTATGACTCCCGTAGAAATCCACCTGGTAAGCCATCACACTGGGTTTCCCAACGCCTTTCAGGACTTGAGTCAGTCCAGTGACTTTCGAGAGAATGTGACGAGGCAGTGCCAGCAGACACAGGTGACAGACGCCCTGGGCCACTGGGCCTACGCTCAGATAAATCTGTTGGCGGCTGGTATCGGCTCAAAGGGACTGGGTAACTTTCAGAACGAAAAGCAAAGGAAGCAGAGGATTGGCGAAAAGTGAAAGCTTTGGCGGGAGGAGCAGGTGGAGGGGGAGGAGGGAGAAAAAGAGGGGCAGGTGGAGGAGGAGGAGGGGGAGAAGGGGGACGAAGAGGAGCAGGTGGAGGGGGAAGAGAACCGCCAGGGAGGGGTGGAGGGGGAGGAGAGAGAAAAAGAGGAGCAGGTAGAGGGGGAGGAGGGAGAAA